AATGCTGACGAGGCTGTGGAGAAATAGGAACCCTTCTCCACTGCTGGTGGGAATGCAGACTGATGAAACCACTGTGGAAATCAGTTTGGAGATTCCTCCAGCAACTAGATCTAGAGGTCCCACTGAACCTACCTATCCCTCTCCAGGGTATTTTTCCAGAAGATCTAGAAACATCATATTATAGCAATATATGTGCACCTATGTTCATAGCAGCACAATGTGTAATTGCTAAAATGTAGAACCAACCCAAATGTCCATCCACTGAGGATTGGATAAGAAAATTGTGGTACTTTTATGTAATGGAATATTACTCAGCTGTAAAGAAAGATAAACTCGAGGCTTTTATAGGTCAATGGTCACAACTAGAGACGATACTCATAAGTGAAATAAATCAGACATACATGTGCAAGCACCGCATTGTTTCTGTAGTGTGAAGCCTGAAAGAGTTAATTTAAACTAGGAGATATGATAGACATTGTAAATTGATAGGATAGCACTCAAGGGTAAATGAGGCTTCTATCTAGAGCATATGAATGGGCTATGTGGGAAAAAAGAAGGGAAAGAAAGGGAAATTTTGTATGTGTGCATATACAGGATAGTTAACATGGTTGTTGTACTGTCTTCTATTTCTTTGCTGAAAGAAGCTGTCAATGAGTCCTTGGTTGATCAGTATTGCATGTGTATATCTGTTTTCATGAGAAGCCACTTTGAAGATATCAATATGTAATACAACTAGCATTGTTAACTCCCTACCAGTTTGGTTGTAACTCCGTATTGTCTGTATTGTTCTTTTGCTATTTTGTAAAATGTTGTCTCTCTCTATTAATGTTTTCCTCCTTTTATTTTTAAAATAAAAAGAAATAAAAAATAAGTAATCGTACTGTGTATGAATCTATAGAGTCCATGGGAGTTGAATTTAATTGTTATATTATCAGATTTCAGGTCAAGTTGAGATTATTGCAGCAAAAGAAGCTGAGGTCTGAATTCAGGTGTTTGTGTTGGTCATGTTCTCTTCAGAATGCTGCTGTGAGCATTACTTCTCTATATAGAGTTAAGAATATCATGACAAATAAAAATTAGATTACTAATATTAGTAGGTGGCATATGTACTGCTATTGCAGCATTCCTTAGGAGAATTCAGAGAGCACATACACTCTTGCTCTTATATTTTTTCTTGATATATATGATTACGAGAGTCATTGAAACATCAGATATATGCAGGAAAGGATAAATGAGTCAGGGGAGAAGAAAGGATGAGGGAGAAGGGAAGTGTTTGGATTCTACGTCCACACGCCACACCTCAACTACCCTCTGATAGGAATGCCTTTTATTTCCAAGGACATCAGCTCGGTCTTCTTGAGTTGCCTTCTTTGTTCCGTAGGTTACAACTGGGAGCCCAACACCAACCCTGCTGTCTTCTTGCTGGATGTCATCAATGGAGTCTTCACTGCTGCGGAATCAGACAGAGAAGAGGAAGGCTGTGAATGTATGTGGGTCCTTAATATTCAAAGTTTTATCTAATTGCAGTGATTGAGATTCAGCAATGTGATAGCTCATCTGAAGAAGGCTTTGTGAATTCATGTGAATGGATGAAAGAAACTTTCTTTCTTTCTTTCTTTCTTCTTTCTTTCTTTCTTTCTTCTTTCTTTCTTTCTTTCTTCTTTCTTTCTTTCTTTCTTTCTTTCTTTCTTTCTTTCTTTCTTTCTTTCTTTCTTTCTTTCTTCTTTCTCTTTCTCCCCCTTCCTTCCTTCTTTCCTTTCTTCCTTTCTTCTTTCCTTATTCTTTCTTTCTTTCTTTCTTTCTTTCTTTCTTTCTTTCTTTCTTTCTTTCTTTCTTTTTTTCTTTCTCTT